TGATAAAACAGAGAGGCATAACTTTCAGATGATGTATTTGACTCTTATTATTGAAAATGATTCACCAATATGTGTTGGACACAATATCCTATGTTCCTAAAACGTCCAATATAAAGCAAGTATGAGCATTCAGACAATCTCTATTTGACTCTTTCCATATGTTTGTAACCATAAAGCTTTATTATGAGTCCCAGGGCTAGTTCCCAATATTTTACCCCTATAGGTACTTGTACACTAGCATATGTAAAAACTAAAGTATACTTTGGGTTTAATTAGAAGACCTGTTCTGTTTTATAGGAACCTGGAAACCCCAAAAATTGGCACAAAATCTTTAGAAAAATCTTTGTATTAAAATCTCTAACTTTGCTACATTGGCATATCTAAGAACAGTTTGAGACACTGCTGAGATTTGGGTTGGAGAAGACGTGTATAGAAAAGTCTCCATTTGCTCTCCATTTATTTTATTTTATTTTATTTTTTGCTGTCCAAAAATCCTTTTTCCAAAAAAATAAGTCTTTGGTTAATCTTTGAAACACAAATTCAGACATTTTAGTGAAACCTGAGAGGTTTCTGTCCCCCCATTGTAGTGCTAACTTTGTCAGCCATTTTTAGTCGTTTCAATTATTCTTAGTCTTAGTCCTGTCTGTGTCAAATGTACTTTTTAGTTATTATAATATTTAGCCAACCTTGTCCTGTTTTTGTTTAGTCAAGTTTTAGTCGACTAAATGTCTGATCATTTTAGTCTAGATTTAGTCAATGAAAACTTAGTCACATTTTCGTCATGCTGTATAATGGTTAAACTTATAGTTGCTCAAAATTATAATCACAATAATTGTTGTCATTTGAGAAATTTATTTTTACATTTCAGGTATTGCACTTTCACCATTAAGCACAAACCAACAGAATGTGAACTCATACACATGGTTTATTTTACCTCCTCTAGTGTACTGATTTTATAGGCTATTTAATATAAAAATTTATATCAAAGACTTAGATATTATAGGCTATTTAATAAATTAATTAATATCAAAGACTTAGACTATGAAAGCTACCAAAACAAACAAAAAATATTATATTCCTAATAGTAATTCCAATAATTCCAAATTGCAATAATATTTCTCTATTAAAACAACAGCGGTTGAGTAAGTGCATTTATTCATCAACCACAATTGCAAACAAAACAGTCAAGATCTCAAGACAGAACACAGACTGGCTGAATGACACTTTCATTTAAGCCGAACATCTCACATGGAGATCGCTGAACTCCAGCTTACTTGTTTGTCTGTGTTTTCAGATCAGTGCTTCTGTAAGGCTGGCCACACACTTGAAGATTTTAAGGCTGATTTTAAGACCGATTTGCACCCCCGAACGATCAGGGGGCGTGGCTAGATTCGAGGCTTGTCCAAAAAATCCTCTATTGTGTGGTGTCGTTACGATTATTTAACTGCTCCTGATCGAGACGGAGTGTCCGATCAGGTGTCGTAGATATCAAATAGCGTTCTTCTGCCTTTGATGTGATACCCGCGATAGCCAATGAGAGTGAGCAAGCGTCACCTACCATATGCTGCATGCTTCTATGGCTGAAACTTGGCAGCCACAAACATGCCAAGAAAGTAGAGTACTTAGAAAGAACATTACCCATATTCTTTTTTTCTATTTAGTTTTTCAGACAAAGTTGATTGTCCTCCATGTGTTTTTCTTCTCTAGTCACGTTTGATCTCGCGAGTGTCAGTGAGATCACATGTCACTGTGAAATCGTTCCTACAATCAACAAGTGTGTGGTCTCGTGGCTCGAATCATCTAGTGTGTGCGTTCAGAGGATTATAAAGCTAAAAATCAGTTGAAACTGTCTTCATGTCTGTGTCTCGCATGGTTTTAAAATCGGTTAAGATTTGAAAATCGTCTAGTGTGTCCCAGGCCTAATGAAGAGCGAGCACGTGCGCATGGTTGACAGATTGCAAAAATTAAGCAAAACACCGGGCAGAAATGTAATCCTTTTAACAGAGAAGCTCTGATTTGGGGATTTGAACTCTTGATATCTGGCAACCGCACACATGAAAGCTCCTATAGTAGAGGCTAGGGATGTGCATCTCATGACTGAGGCCGATACGATACGCATCCATACATATGAAGCAGCTACCGATGTGATGCGATACGATTCACCCCTGTTACGATGCAGTTCGATCCGATTTCGATTCGATTCAACATAATGCGATTCAATGCAATACGATGCAATTGAAAAAATATGATCACTAATGCCTCGAGGCCTGTTTCATAAAACAAGTTTACCAAATAAGCCAGGCTTATTTCAGTTAGTCTGACTCATTGTCAAATGATTTGGTTCCATAAAGCAAATTTAAGATTAACTTCAGTCACTGTGGCAACTTATGCTGGGAAACTATTTACAGTTACTGCTATCATAAAAATACACTTATATGAAGGTTTAAAATTCTACAAAAGGCACATTTAATGTCCAACAACAAATATTTTAGCAAAATGTATATTTTACTCAGAATTATTGCACTCATATTTGATTGCGCGCCGTCTGTTTTGCCCACTCCTGACAGCAAAATGTATATATTTGCATGACTTTATAACATTTACAGATGAAAAATATCCATGTGACATGTCAGTTATGCACGGAGGAAAACACAACGTCTCAAATGCATTAAACAGCACGAATATATTCGCTGTTTGCCATGGTGGATAGATTTGATCCATGATCGACATTAAGGGCTGCTTAAGAATAAGCGTGCACAAATTAGTGAGATTGTGTTTATGGAACCGCTTTAGCCCCGATTGATTTGTTAGGTTATTTCAAGTCAGGTTTTGGACTTTAATCCCAGTTTTTTCTCGGGTCTCCGTGGTGTTGTGATGGTTCATATTCACACAGCAGCAGCGGTGATGAGAGAACGCGCTTGACAAACAAATACATAGATCACAGATTATTGGTCACTTTCTAAATAATAAAAGTATAGCGCATCCACTAGTAATTGTATATAAATAAATCGTTTTTTACCGATGCAAATATGTTAGAAACGATGCATCGCAATACAAATGCCGACTTGTAGCCGATACACACTTTTTAAACCGATGCATCGCATCGTTAACTTTTTATGCTGATGCACCGAGCGAATCGGGGAATCTTCCCATCCCTAGTAGAGGCACGTATAGCAGTCCACAATAATATTTTGTCTCCTTTTTTTCAACAAAAATAGAAAGAGATGTTTGCATAGTTTTTGTACATTTTAGTCTCGTCTTTTATCGTCAACAATTTCGCATGTTGATATTGTCACAATTATCATTAATTGACGGTATTGTTGTCTCGTCATCGTCTCGTTTTAGTCCTGGGAAAAAAGCTTGTCAACAAACATTTGTTGTCATAGTTTTTGTTAACGAAATACTCCACTGAACCAAAACTTAGACGATCTAAAAAGGTCATAAAGGTGTCATAAAACAAATCCATATGAACTGAGCTTCAAGTTGTTTAGCGATACAGATGCTTTCTATGATAAACAGATTTAATTTAGGCTTTTATTTACATTTGAACAATGCTTGGCACACATAAATAGAGCACATAACATTGCTTAAACAAGGAAACTCAAATGTGTGTGATGCGCGACAACCAATGAGTTTTGATCTAGCTTGTGACACACAAATGGGTTTCCGTGTTTAGATGATTATTGTGCTCTGTGTATGTTTGTTTACATGTGAATGAAAGCTTAAATTAAACCTGTTTGTCATATAACACAGTTGTATAACTTCACAATATTTGAATTAAACCGCTCGATTCATATGGATTTTTGGGTGAACTATTCCTTTAACTTGCAATGATTAATAGATCTTAATCAAGGTAGTGCCATATTTATTTTTTGACAGGAATGAAAACAAGGCTGTGAGGGACAGAAATACAGTGTTTCCGATGGATTGTACTGTTATTTAACAACATACTGGTTGTTCAGCTGAAAATTGTCTTTCTGGAAAAAGCTTTCAGCAGACAAAAACTCCATAACACAGTTTTAAAAGTTGTGAGTTATGAAAATTATGTGATCTAGGACCTTTATAAAGTGTGTCGCATTGTAACGACTGCAGTCTATCCTTCACAGCCTCATTTTCATCTGTGTTGGATTACATGACTGCATATGAAGAGTTCAGATGCAAACACCTCTAAGTGCCGTCTGAAATTTTCTTTTAAAATTCGCTTTTTTTCAGGCTCCTATGTGTAGGTTCAGTAGTTTCACTTTAATAGCAACGAATAGTTCTTTTCATTAAACAAGGCTGTGAGGGACAGAAATACAGTGTTTCCGATGGATTGTACTGTTATTTAACAACATACTGGTTGTTCAGCTGAAAATTGTCTTTCTGGAAAAAGCTTTCAGCAGACAAAAACTCCATAACACAGTTTTAAAAGTTGTGAGTTATGAAAATTATGTGATCTAGGACCTTTATAAAAAAGCTAATTGAAGAAAATTTCAGACAGCAGTTTGCATCGGAACACTTCATATGCAATCATGTAATGTAACTGTATTCTGATTATGAGCTTTTTAAAGCATAACATAATCTAATTGCAAGTACTTCATTTTTGGAATCTGATTACGTAATCCGGATTACATGTAATCAGTTACTTCCCAGCACTGGCTACAGCTCTTAAAAAGGTTTCCTGTTCCTTTAAATATTGCGTGTAGTTTGCAGATCACCTACACAATCCAGATAGCAACACTACAAAAAACAGCATTATATCTCAAATTGTCAAACAAACCTTCAATTAGGTGACTGGACATACAAAGAACGGTGGCAATAAAACGCCTCAGATTTCCAATCTCGGAACACAAGCGTAAATTCTTACTTTCAAAACCTCAAAGTCATACACGAAGGCCCGAGGCAATGTTAGCGTCTTTTCCATATCAGTCCCTGAGCCTAGTAAACACTGGAAGAGTGTGCGTTCCCCTTTAAGAGGCCCCCACCGTTCCCGACGAGGCGGGAGGCACAGCGCATTCCTGGAACAGCGCGAGAAAGGGAAAAAAAATCACCAGCGACCTGTTTCAAGTCCCCCCAATAGAAACTGTGCCTGATTTGTGGCCAATGTTGGAGATGTGAAAAAAAAAGGGGAGAGAAGAGGAGGGGGGAGGGAAAACACTAAAGGGGGTAGCTATGGAGATAGACCGTTTTCCTGGCTGCTTTCTTTGACAGGTGTTGAGTGGGGTAAAAGTCTTAAAACAGAATCCAGCATGTACGCCAAAGGTAAAGGAGCTGTCGTCCCTTCTGATAATCAAGCGAGAGAAAAGTAAGTGAATCGCGCGCCCTTTAAAGAGTCTCGCTTTGCTTATTACGGACTCGCAACTTTCTAAAACTGTGCGTACGACTGTTTGAAGGTGTATTTAGTGCGAACTTGCGCTCTGGAGTGATCGTCCCGGAGTCTTCCTAACTTTATAGCCGGTTGTAGCACTTTAATGCTTTGAGTTGCCCGTGCATTTTCGATTTTATTCAAGTTTGGTTGCGCACCTGAACACACGACCTGTCCAGTGCATCCAATCTGAGTGATGTTGCGTGCTCGCATCACTCATTTTAAAGCTTGTGTGTCTTTTGCATCAACATTACATGCCGTGCATCTGTTGTGTGAGAGTTACATTGCTGGATAAACGCATCCGAGTCTTTTTCTCCCGGTTTTCGGGCGAAACAGAATCCAGCATGTACGCCAAAGGTAAAGGAGCTGTCGTCCCTTCTGATAATCAAGCGAGAGAAAAGTAAGTGAATCGCGCGCCCTTTAAAGAGTCTCGCTTTGCTTATTACGGACTCGCAACTTTCTAAAACTGTGCGTACGACTGTTTGAAGGTGTATTTAGTGCGAACTTGCGCTCTGGAGTGATCGTCCCGGAGTCTTCCTAACTTTATAGCCGGTTGTAGCACTTTAATGCTTTGAGTTGCCCGTGCATTTTCGATTTTATTCAAGTTTGGTTGCGCACCTGAACACATGAACTGTCCAGTGCATCCAATCTGAGTGATGTTGCGTGCTCGCATCACTCATTTTAAAGCTTGTGTGTCTTTTGCATCAACATTACATGCCGTGCATCTGTTGTGTGAGAGTTACATTGCTGGATAAACGCATCCGAGTCTTTTTCTCCCGGTTTTCGGGCGTTTTTTTTTAAATTGGGGAGGCGTTTAGTCGCCGTTTGTGCTGGTTTATTTATTATTTAATGCTATTTGTATCTCGTCGCGTGTGTATTTGTACGTTTTGGCTTTAAAGCTAACTGATAAATAAGTAATTTGAGTAATTCCGACACACATTCCCCCAATATTTTGTCTTTTGGTGAAGCGCAGAGTACCGGTTTTTATAAAAACTCTTGTTGCTTCAAGTTTTGCTGACTTTTCCAGACTGCATACTGTAATATTTTTATGGTAGTACATCACCATGTGATCTTTCCACTGTTGTGTACAAGCTGTTGCCATAGAAACAACCTCACATCCCCTTAAATGTAATAAAGTGACCTGTAATATTCATAAATCTGTCATATGTGGTCGAAGGTTACTGTGTCAGACTTGGAGACGATGATAGGACACTTAGTATGTGAGTCTGAGATGATTGTGGAGATGTAACACACTTAGGAAGGAAGAATGCAAGGAAATATAGGTGGTCATAGTTAAACTGCATGAGAAGGTTGTGAATATGATGTATAGGATATCAGCATCCAAGAGAAATTGCTGCCAAGACCGTTTTTGTATGGAAGTTCTGGAAGAAAGTGTAATTGAGTTATTTTGTCATTCAGATATTGATTGCCACTTTGAACCTATTCATTTCAGTGTTATGCAGTAGTTTTTGTGTAAAAAGCTTCCCAGAAGTTTGCCTCGTACCAGGGGTCTGCAACAGTTTGTGTACAAACAAGGTGTTTTTCCAAGAAACTTTCCATTAATGGTCTGAAATGGTCATTTCGACTCTTGTGCTAGTGAACATCCTCGAACACAGGTTGTGCAAGGTTGTAGACGGCTCCTCAAGTGTTGGTGCCACGGGCACCGCATTAACACCGCAGGTTACCGTTTCACGTGTTGTATTCAGAGATGACATGTTGTGACCACACAGGCTTTGTTCTGTTGTTGGAGGTTAATACATTTGTCGGCACTAGTCGAGCAAAGGTGTCATTAACCTTAAGCAGCTGATTTAGGTTTAGGATGCAATAACCAAGTTTAGACCTCATTCATTGGCGTGCGTCCTTGGCAAGTTTGCTTGGAGTGAACTTGGGAGGACTCTATGAATCAGTAATGTCAAGTTTATTGCAGCATTGTTGACTTTGATTAGTTCTGAACAGATTTCAAAGCTCAGGTTCATCAGAGTTTAGCATCCACAGATTCGATCTAATTCCGTGAATCAGTTGGAATGCCACAAGAAATTGCACAGTGTTTTTTTTTTTAGGTGGAAATTAATGAAAACGGATTCTGATCTAGGTCTCTATCTCCTGTTTTCCCCCAACATCTTGAGCACTTCTCTGGCTTCCCTGAGTTTATTGGTGTGTCTAAGAGGCAGCGAGTAGGTCTGAAATGCATGGTTTTGATTTCATCCAGATGGCTCAGCCTCCTTCATAGAGGTGTTTTCAGCCACATATAAAGGGAATCAAGCATGCACACAGAAACAGGACGTTGTTCTTATGAAGAGCGTCTGATTTGCTCTGTTTTGGATAAACGTTGCTCTCAGACATGGATGAGAATCAATTAATTTTCCATCTTGGATAGCTGGATGTATGGCTTTTTAAGTTTACTTTGAAGAGAGATGTTCTCTGTAATTATTTAGGGGCATATTTAATGATCGCTCTCAGTTGTAACGCGGAAATGTCTGTTTTGTGCGCGCGTGTTTGGAAATCTTTTCTAAAAGAGCGCTCACTCCGCTTTCATCAGAATAATTGAGATGGATTGCCTCATGAAAGTTTATCAACATTTTTTATTTAGCACTATTGCTTTGCTGAATTTTTCTGTCAATCTTTGGTTATTTTGAATGAAAGATCAACTAAATTGGGTTAAAAAAAGTAAAAGGATGTGGAACAATGCCACACCAACAATATTATGACAGCACTTTTCATGATGTTAGTGGAATGTCAGGCCACTTGTGATTGGTTTGCCCAGGTTCACTTAAAATCATTGTTTTATAGTGTCTATTGTTATTTAAATACAAAATTGTATAAAAATGTAATATCAGCCATTTATTGACCCAATAAATAATTTTTAGTTTATTGATAACGGCCAGAATTTTGAAATCAGTGCATCCCTATAATTTTGCAGTTTTGCAAATGCTAGCATGGATGGTTTGCTTGACATTCACTGAAAAAAATAGTGTAGAAGCAATTTTAACTCAAAAATTACTAGTAAATTTCCTAATTAATAACAAAGAAATGGCAAGTAACACATGGACTTAAATATGAAATGTTGATGTATAATGACTGAAATTGTGTTTTCTTGTAAAACATACTCCAATAATCTTTGTTTTAATTATACTTTCGAGAAAACTTTTTTTTTTTACAGTGTGCGATCATCCTCAAAAAACTACTCCAGATTTTGATAGGCTTTTATGTCAAATTTGGGTCCTGAAGCAAAACTAAAGCCCCTCTAATGCATAATATGCCTTAAAACTTCTCTTCTAAACTTCAGCCACCTTTTCAGCTCTCCTCGCATGCTGTTTGTCTTCACACGAGACCCTGCAACTAAATTATTGAAATGGAGACGGCAAAGTTCATTTGTTAACTGTCTGCACTTAAGCTAGCTAAACTTGGCTCTGCCTCTTTTATGTATAAACGGAGTCTTGACTGGGAGCCTCGGGCGAGATGTCAAGATGTGTTCTCAGGTTAAGTCAGGAGAGCTCATCATGATGAGACTGGACACACAGTGAGCCGCCATGCCTGAATGGCAGAGCAAAAGCAGAACCTCATCAGATATGCCTGTCCATCATCGGCCTATCGACATCCACGCTGCCGTCTGTATGCCGCTGTCAAGGTCTAAATTATTCCTGCTGCGCGGCTCTCAGAAAGCAGGCGTGTGAAAACGATATCCCTCGACCGGTTTTATGGAGTCATTAATCTAAATATTAAGTCAATACGTCTGCCTTCCTATTGCACCCCTAGCTTTTGTATTGCATGATGATTAGTCGAGCGCACACCGAGCATCTCAGCCTGTTGATCCTGTTCCTGCGGTCTCAGTATTAGTCGAAATACCGATATGTTCCTCTGTCAGTATGACAAAAAGTGTTCCCTGAAGCCCACTGTAGATGAAATCCTTCTCAATAATGCATCAGGCCGAGAGCAGGAACCCATCATCAACCTGCAGAAGCTCCTCAGATCATCCAGAGCTTACGATGAAAATTTCATCCGGCCACTCGTGGGAACCTCCGTTTGATCCCTCTCAACGCCAGTTGGGTTTATACGAGCTGACTTGCGCTGTCGAGTACATGACTCCGTCTAGAGGTCAGGTTTTCAACAAACCAACAGATGTGAGCTTTGCATGCAAACTACATCTTTGACATTGACTAGCCAATGGAGTGCCTAAACAATAGTTGAATAGTCTTAAGGCCCATTCACACCAAGATGAGAACTATCGCAATAATGCTTTAAAAAACATTCTAGTTCTATGAGAACAGAGAAGTTCACACTACAACTATATGATAATGGCATTGCGGAACAATATCATTGGAATCACTTTTAGATAAATTGTTTTTCTAGCTGATGAACGATAAAAACATTAAAAAGCTTGAGCATTTAATATGGCAGACAACAAAACTGCAGTGAGCTTATAATAAACAGAACGTTATTATCTGTTGGTGTGGATGCTAATATAGCTATCGTTATAATTAGCATTCTTAACTTGAGTGTTTAAAACAGTAGATGTCAAAACTGCAGTGTGCACTTATAATAAACAATATTGACTGTTGATGTGGACTCTAATATAGTTACGGTTATAGTTATCGCTCTTATCATTTTTAAAAAGCTCGAGAATTTAATGCAGCAAGTGACAAATCTGCAGTGCATGCTTATAATAAACAGAATCTAATCATCTTTTGGTGTGGACGCTAATATAGTTATTGTTATAGTTACCGTTCATAAATGCTTGAGCATTTAAAGTGGCAGCCGACAAAACTGCAGCGCACACTTATAATAAACAGAATGTTACCGTCTGTTGATGTAGGTCACTAATAGAGTTATCTAAAAACTCACATTGCGATATTTTTTTTTTCCTGTGATATACAGTATATTGCGATATTAAAAAAAAAATCAGATGACTTCAATAGCTCTATTTGGAAAAAAAAAAATTT